CAGTGGTTAGTTGTGGATCTCTGTATCTGCTTCCATCTGTTTCTGGAAGAGAGTTCTAGCTTCTCTGAGGTTGTGGACTATGGGCTGGTTATCCTTTGCTTTATGTCTGGTATCCATTTTTGAGGGAGTGTATATTTGTCTTTCTGAGTCTGGGTTATATCACTCGGGATGTTTTTTTCTATTTTGTCTGTTTACCTGCAAATTTAAAGATGTCATTGTTTTTTGCCACTGAGTCGTACTCTTTTGTGTAAATGGACCATATTTTCTTCATCTCTTCTTAGGCTGAGAGGCATCTATGTTGTTTCCAGGTTTTGACTTTTACAAATAATACTGCTAAGAACATAGTTGAGCAAATGCCTGTAGATGGAAGTTTCTGTCCTGCCTGGTTCCACAGCTATTCAGTCCCAAATAAACACAGAGAGGCTTATATCAATTGTAAATTAATATAGCTCAGACTCATTATTAACTAGCTCTTATAATTTAACCCATAATTCTTGTCTGTGTTAAGTCATGTGGCTTGGTACCTTTTCTCAGTGTGGTATTCTCATCTTGCTTCCTCTGTGTCTGGCTGGTAACTGTGTCTCTGCCTTTCCTTTTCCTAGAATTATTGTAGTCTGGTCACCCCACCTATACTAATATAAGTGACAAATCTTTACAGTGTACAAGAACATTGTCCCACAGCAAATGTCCTTGTGTTGTGTTTGTACCTCTTTTGGGTATATGCTCAAAAGTGGTATTGCTGGGTCTTGAGATAAATTGATTCCTAATTTTCTAAGAAATTGCCATATTGATTTCCACAGTGACTGCACAAGTTTACACTTCCACCAGCAATGGAGGAGTGTTCCCCTTACTCCACATTCTCTCCAGCATAGGCTGTCATCAGTGGTTTTGATCTTAGCTGTTCTGCTAGGTGTAACTTGGTATCTCAGAGTCATTTTTATTTGCATTTCCTTGATGACTAAGTATGCTAAGCAATTCTTTAAGTGTCTTTTGGCCATTTGAGATTCTTCTATTGAGAATTTTCTGTTTAGATCTGTTCCCAATTTAATTGGATTGCTTTGTAGTTTGATGTTTAGTTTCTTAAATTCTTTATATATTTTGGATATAACTCCTCTGTCTGATGAGGGGTTGGTGAAGATCTTTTCCCAACTGTAGGCAGCCATTTTGTCTTGTTAACCCTGCCCTTTGCCTTACAGAAGCTTTTCAGTTTCAGAAGGTTCCATTTATTAATTGTTGATCTCAATGTCTGTGCTACTGGTGCTCTATTCAGGAAGTTGTCTCCTGTGCCAATGCATCCAAGGCTACTTCCCACTTTCTTTTCTATGAGGTTTAGTGTATGAATTTATGTTGAGAGCTTTGATCTGTTTGGACTTGAGTTTTGTGTGTGGTGACAGATATGGATCTATTTGTATTCTTTTATATATTGACATCCATTTTTTGAAGATGCTTTCTTTTTTCCATTTATATTTTTAGCCTGTCAAAAATCAGGTATTCATAGGTGTGGGGGTTAATATCCAGGTCTTCGATTCGATTCCATTGATCCTCCTATCTGTTTTTATGCAGGTATCACACTGTTCTCATTACTGTAGCTCTAGACAGAGTTTGAAGTCAGGAATTGTGACGCCTCCAGATATTCCTTTATTGTACAGGGATGTTTTGGCTATCCTGGGTTTTTTGTTGTTGTTTTGTTTTGTTTTTGTTTTTCCATATGATTTTAGTATTGTTCTTTTGAGGCCTGGGATTTTGATGGGGATTGTATTGAATCTGTAGATTGCTTTTGGTAAGATTGCCATTTTTACTATGTTAATTCTACCTGTTCAAGAACATGTCTCCTTCAATTTTATTTTTTAAACACTTAAAGTTCTTGTCATACAGGTCTTTCACATGTTTGGTTAGAGTTACCCCAAGAAATTTTATGTTGTTGGTGGCTATTGTAGAGGGTGATGTGTTTCTGATTTCTTTCTTAGCCTATTTATTATCTGTATGTAGGAGGACTACTGATTTATTTTGAGTTAATCTTGTATTTTACTACATTACTGAATGTGTTTATCAGCTGTAGGAGTTCTCTGGTAGAATTTTTGAGATCAGTTGTGTAAACTATCATATCAGCAAATAGCAAAAGTTTGACTTCTTTTCCAATTTGTGTACTCTTGATCTTTTTGTTGTTGTTGTTTTATTGCTTTAGCAAAGACTTCAAGTACTATATTGAAGGGATATGGAGAGAGTGGACATCCTTGTCTTGTTCCTGATTTTAGTGGAATCACTTTTTTGAGTTTCTCTCCATTTAGTTTGATGTTGGCTGTTGGCTTGCTGTATATTGCCTTTACTATATGTAAGTGTACCCTTATATCCTTGTATGTCCCTTGTATCCCTGTTCTCTTCAAGACATTTATCATGAAGGGGTGTTGGATTTTGTTGGAGATTTTTTTCAGCATCTAATGAGATGATCATGTGGTTTTTTTTCTTTCAATTTATTTATATGGTGGGTTGCATTGATGAATTATTATATGTTCAGCTATCCCTGCACCTCAGGAATGAAGCCTACTTAATCATGTTGGATGATGTTTCTGATGTGGTTTTGGATTTGGTTTGCCAGTATCTTATTGAGTATTTTTGCATCAATGTTCATGAGGGAGATTGGTCTGTAATTCTCTTTCTACATTGAGTCTTTGTGTGGTTTGGGTATCAGGGTAACAGTAGGCTCTTAAAAAGAGCTCTGGCAGTGTTCTTTCTGCTTCTGTTGTGTGGAATAATTTGAGGAGTATCGGTATTAGCTCTTCTTTGAAGTTCTATTAGAATTCTGCGCTGAAACCATCTGGTCCTGGGCTTTTTTTGATTGGGAGGTTTTTGATGACTATTTTTATTTCCTTATGGGTTATATATCTATTTAATTTATTTATCTAGTCTTGATTTAATTTTGGTATGTGGTACTTACCAAAAAAATTGCCTATTTTCTTTAAATTTTCCAATTTTGTGGAGTAGAAGTTTTTGAAGTATGACCTGATGATTCTCTGAATTTTCTCAGTGTCTGTTGTTATATCCCCCTTTCATTCCTTATTTTGTTGATTTGGATATTGTCTCTCTGCCTTTTGGTTAGTTTGGATAAAGGTTTGATTCTTTGTATTTTTTTAAATTTTTGATTTCAACTTGACTATTTCCTGCCATCTGCTTCTTCTGGATGAGTTTGCTTCTTTTTGTTCTAGACTTTTCAGGTGTTATGTCAATTTGCTAGTATGGGATTTCCCCAGCTTCTTTATATAGGCATTAACTTATGTAGTGTTATGAACTCTCCTCTTAGGACTGCTTTCATTGTGTCCCATAAGGTTGGGTATGTTGTACAGTCATTTTTATTGAATTTTAAGGAATCTTTAATTTCTAGCTCAGCCTTGTTCAATTTTCATGTGTTTTTGGGCTCTCTGAAATTATTATTGCTGTTGAATTCTATTTTTAAGATGTGGTGATATGATAAAATACACGAAGTTTATTTCAATTTTTTTTATCTGTTGAGGTTTACTTTGTTACCGAGTATGTGGTCAATTTTTGAGAAGGTTCTATGAGGTGCTGAGAAGAAGGTATAGTATATTCTTTTCTGTTTGGATGGAATGTTCTGTTTATATCTGTTGAGTTCATTTGAGTCATAACATTTGTTAGTTCCCTTATTTCTCTGTTAAGTTTTTGTCCGACAGACATTTTCAGTGGTGAGACTGGGGTGTTAAAATCTCCCACTATTAGTGTGTGGAACTTCATGTGTGATTTAACTTTCTTTTACAAATATGGGTGCTCTTGTATTTGGGATATAGATGTTCAGATTTGAGATTTCCTCTTGATGGAGTTTTCCTGTGATGAATATGAAATGTCCTTCTTTATCTCTTTTGATTGATTTTAGTTTGAAATCTATTTTGTTATTTATTAGGATAGCTACACCAGCTTGTTTCTTAGGTCCATTTGATTGGAAAAATTTCTCCCAACCCTTAACTTTGAGGAGGTGACGTCTGTCTCTGAGGATTAGATACATTTCTTGTATGTAGCAGAAGGATGGATTCTGTTTTTGTATCCAGTCTGTTAACCTGTGCCTTTATAGGCAAAGAGAAAGTCCATTTCTATTAAAGGATATTAATGACCAGTGATTGCTAGTTTCTGTTATTTTAGTTTTTGTTGTTGGTGATGTTATTGTGCGTGTTTTTCCCTTCTTTGTAGTTTGCTGCTGGGAGATCATCTATTGCCTGTGGATATAGCTAACTTCCTTAGGTTGGAGTTTTCCTTCTAGTACTTTGTGTAGGGCTGGATTTGTGGCTAGGTATTATTTAAATCTCATTTTGTCATGGAATATTTTGTTTTCTCCATCTAGGGTGATTGAATGCTTTGCTGGGAGTAGTAGCCTGGACGGGAATCCAAGGTCTCTTAGTGTCTGCATAATGCGTGTCCAGGACCTTCTGGCTTTCATTATTTCCATTGAGAAGTGAGATATAATTCTGATAGTTCTGCCTTTATATTACTTTTTCTTTTCCTTTGCAGATCTTAATATTCCGTTTTTATTATGTATGTTTAGTGTTTTGATTATTATGTGGTAAGGGAAATTTTTATTTGGTCCAGTCTATTTTCTGTAAGCTTCTTGCATTTTCATAGGCATGTCCTTCTTTAGGTTGGAAAAATTTTCTTCTATGATTTTGTCAAATATATTTTCTGTGCCTTTGAATTGAACTTCTTCTATTCCTATTATTCTTAGGTTTGGTCTTTTCATGGTGTCCCATATTTTCTGGATATTCTCTGTTAAGAATTTGTTGGATTTAACATTTTCTTTGACTGATGAATCAATTTTCTCTATCATATCTTCAATGCCTAAGATTCTCTCTTTCAATCTCCTGTATTCTGTTACTTATGCTTATAGTTGTGGTTCCTGATCATTTACCAAAAATTTCCATTTCTTGAATTCCCTCGGTTTGTGTTTTTTTTTTATTGTCTCTATTTTAGTTTTCAAATCTTTTTTTTTAAATGGGGAGTCTATTTATTGGGGAGAGAGGGTTAGTCAAAGGGTGGGCTGTCTAGGGTAGGGTAGGGTAGCAGTTTGTCTGGCCCTCGAGAAACCCAACTTGAATCCAAGGCCTCATCTGCTTCAAAGCCAAAGTCTTCCTCAACTTTAATCACGCCTTGGCCCCAGCCCTCGGCTCCCACCTGCATTGGGGCCAGTTCTGGGGTCAACGAAGCCCCCACCCGTGGTGCCCGCCGCCTCTTCCGCCCACAGGGCCCTTCGCCAGGGGCTGGGCTGCTGGGGTCTAGGTGTGCAGGTGTCCTTTGGGGTGGGGAAAGTCCCTCTTTCTCTGGAGGCTCGTTCTCAGCATTGCCCGGAGTGGGGACATCTGTGCCTTGGCTGCCATCATCCTCCAACACAATGGTGAACTGGCTGGCCCGGTAGTCATCCCCGTAGGAGTCCAGCACCCTCATGAGGAACCTGCGCTCCTCCTGGAGTCTCCGGGTTATCCTTTGCACCTGATGGAGCCTGTTCAGGACTCGCTCATTCACCTGCTCGATCTCCCTGCAGCGCCGACCTAGAGCCTGGTACTTTCTTCTATTTAGTTCCCGTTGGCGACGCCTGCGACCCCGGGCTGCCTCTTCCTCATCATCCCGCTCCCGGAGTCCTGAACCACAGAGACCACCGGACACAAACTCCACTTCTGTCTCTAGCTCACTGTCCAGGATGTGGCCACCAAACAAGGGAGGCAGAGCCAGCTCTGAACCTGGTGGCGCTGAGAACTCTTCAAAGCCCATGGCTGCTGCCATGGCCCCCTCTCTCTGTTCCAGCTCCATTTCTCGGGCTAGTTTTCAAATCTTAAATTGTTTCTTTCACCTGTTTGATTGCTTTTTCTTGGTTTTCTTTAAGGACTTTGTTAATTTCTTTCAATTTTTTGTTTGTCTTTTCCTCCATTTTTAAAGGGAAATTTTCATTTCCTCTTTAAGAGCCTCAATCATTTTCAAAAATTATTTTTAAGATAATTTTCTTCTACTTCATCTGTGTTGGATGTTCAGGTATTGCTGTTGTAGAGTCACTGTTTCTGGTGGTGCCGCATCGCTCCTTATGTTGTTGAGTTTATTCTTACCTTGTTGCCTACCCAGCTCTTCCTCAAACTGGTGTAGTTGGGGAGCTGTGTCTTTGCCGAAAGCTCCTTCAGGGGCAGGCAGAGCAGAACCTTGGGTGATCACTTTTTCTGGTGCCAACAGGCCCAAGGCTCAGATGTTCGCTCCTCCAGGTGGAGTGGGAGGGGGGCATGGTTCTGGTTGCTTGACCTTTCGGGTGGTCGCTTGATGACTCAGGTCTCTGGCGCTCCTGGGCAAGTCCGTCACTCTTACCTCCTCTGGCGTCCCGGGTGGGTTGCAGCTCAGGGCACCTCTTATGACAATATTTAACAAGCCCTTAAAAGTTCCTTTAAAATTACATTTATTTATTTATTTATTTGTCCATGTGTGAGTGCATGCATGAGTGTATGTGTGCATGCGTGTGTGGATCAGAGAATGATTTGTAGTAGTTGGTTATCTCTTTACTCTGTGAGTCCTGGGGTACGAACTTGGATCATCAGGCTTAGAAGTAAGTGCCTTTATACACAGAGACATCCTTCCAGCCAATAAACCCTTTGACCAACTTTTTTAGCTATCATACAACATTTGGAGTAAAGAGCATTTTGGAAGCTAAGTGCTGCGACATAAATACCTAAATGGGATCCATTAGTATAACCAACAATTTATTTCTCCCAAGTTTTGGAAAGTATAGCACCAAGTCTCTCCTATTCATAGAGGGTGTCTCTTAACTGTGTCCTCACAAGTGGAGGGGGCAGTCCCTTTTATAGGAGCACTAATCCCACTCACAAGGAGTTCCTTCATGACCTACTCTTATCCTGAAGGCTGCACTCCCTAAAACTGTATGATTTCAGAGCAGAAATTTTGGGTTGGTGCAAACATTCGGCTGGCTGCACCAAGTCCAGCCAGGCGACACAGAGCTACATTCTGCAGGAGATCGCATAAGTGTCCGTGGTGCCAGGAGGGCAGTGCAGCTCAAGATTCCTGTTGCCTTGTGAGGTAACAGCTGCAACATCCTCAAACATATTGGTCCCATCTCTGTGCTTGTGTTGGCTGTGGTGTAAGAGTTTAGCATGGAAGTGATAATTGATAACAAATGTTCCTCTTATTTGTGTATTTAATCTTCTAATTTCTCAGTCTTTTAGTTTATAGTCTTTTTTTTGTTTTTGTTTTTCGAGACAGGGTTTCTCTGTAGCGTTGGAGCCTGTTCTGGAACTAGTTCTTGTAAACCAGGCTGGCCTCGAACTCACAGAGATCCGCCTACCTCTACCTCCGGAGTGCTGGCATAGTCTTATTTTCAAACAAGAATGGTAAAGAAATGTTATGTTACACTGGCAGTAGCCTCCTATATCTTCTTCAACCTCACTTTGTAGTTACCTCAAGGGGTCACTTCAAGTGATTGATTGACCTATACCATCTAGGTGTATAAAAGTATATACTCCATGATGTTCACACACGATGAAAATGCTCAAAATCGATGTCTTGGAATGAGTGGCTGTGGTTAAGTGACTCATGACTGTCTTCTAGGTTATAAAATTATAAATGTAATTTTATTTTTAAATTAAAATATATTTACAACAATAATTCCCCTTCATAAAAGAGAGGAAGAAAATCAAGATAGCTTGAGAATAGTGGGGTGAGAGGTAAGTGAGGGAGTAGGGGAGACTGAATAGGTGGGTCAGATCGAGAGCTCGATGTCAAAATAATGTCCATGTAATGATAACAAAATATGACAACTAACATTTATTCAGCTTTTCTTCTGTGTCAAGGCTTCTTTCCTATGCACCCTGCGTTTCTCCTGTAGTCCTCGGCTTCATCAGCACAAGTAATCCTCTCCTCTTACTTCATGGCTGTGGAGGTCTAAGGAGAGGAGGAAAAGTGTATGCTTAAAATATTGGTGTAGGAAAGATCATTCTGAATATGACAATAAAGCCAAAAACAAGGGGAAAGAAATAGATTTGACTGTACTTACATACACACATTTAAACTTTTGTATTTTCCCCAAATACCACAAAAGAATTAACAAAAAGTCTTGGTGATATGACAAAGCATTACAATTCTCTTCATATAAGGAATTTTATAGGAGTTGGAGAGATGGCTCAGCAGTTAAGAGCACTGACTGCTCTTCTAGAGGACCCAGGTATAATTCCCAGCAATCCCATGGCAGCTCACAACTCTCTGTAACTCCAAGATCTGACACCTTTACACAGATATTCATGCAGAAAAAACACAAAAGCATATAAAATAAAAATAAATAAATTATTTTTAAAAAATTATAAGACATGAAAAAGAACAAATGGTCTAAGGCAAAGGTTGACAAACTTACCCTAAACCAAAAATTCTCCACCATCTTCCTTTGAAAATAAGATTTTACTTGAGCGCAGGCAGCTTCCTCATTTGTGTATTGTTTATGGCCACTTTTGAGCAGAATTGAATACGACATCAAACACAGTGATTTTATTTTCTGAATTCTGGCTACAGAGATGTCTCAGTGAGAAAAACACCTGCCATGCAAGTGTAGTGACTGCCTCCCAGAACCCACATACAGCCAGACATGAGAGCATATATCTGCAGCCCCAGGGCTTTGACACTAATGGGAAGCTCATGGGCCAACTGGCTTGGTTTATGCAGTGATGAACAAGAGACCTCTGTCTCAAACAAGGTGGATGGCAAGGACTGACATACAAGGTTATCTCTGAGCACTGCACACACGCTGAGGTATGCATATGCCTTGGCACACACAGATAACACACACACACACCCATGCACAGAGACTTTTTAAAAGGAGAGGAAAGAGAAAACATTTATTTCCTTTGGAAGAGCATCAGGAGAATGGACTGGATGGGTCTTTGCCTGCTTCTGCTGCACTGCTTCCTTCACAGCCACACAGCTGATGGTCTGCTGTGTCTTCAAGACACTTTCTCCTGTCATGGCCAGTGCTCAGCAAACTACTCATTGCATCGGCTGTCTTTGCACTGAGGTCATTAACTGTTGTAGAGAAATTTACAAAACTAGGTAATGGGTATTATAGTTACATTAATGGTTTCCCATCTGGGCTTGGAGAGACCCCGTTTTGAAATCAACTCCCTCCCTTCTCTCTCTCTCTCTCTCTCTCTCTCTCTCTCTCTCTCTCTCTCTCTCGTGTGTGTGCATGTGTGTGCACATGTGTTCGGAAGTCAAAGGTGGACATCATTGTCTTCCTCATTTCCTCTCCACCTTAAGTTTTGAGGTGAAATCTCCGTCTGAACATAGGGTTCACTGATTGAGCTAGCCTGGCTCAGCATGGGGTAACACACACATGACTATGACTGGTTTTATGTGGGTGCCAGGGATCAGACTCAGGCAAGCACTTTATTGACTGACTTATCTTCTGAGCTTCATGCCTCTACTTCTTATATGCAATTCAGTCCTCAGTGCCCTTTTCTTTCCCTTTACATATCCCTTTTTGTTTATTATTATTTTTATTTTTATGTGCATTGGGGTTTTGCCACAGGTGTTGGGCCCCCTGAAATGAGTTACAGACAGGTGTAAGCTACCATGTGGTTGCTGGGAATTGAACCTGGGTCCTCTGGAAGAGCAGCCAGTTCTCTTAACCACTGAGCCATCCCTCTAGCCCCTTACGTACCTTTTTCTAGGAAATCTTATTATCTCTTTACACACAAATCTTATTCCCTGCCTAGATCTTTTCTCAGACTCTACCATCAAGTTCTTACAAGACTTCTCCTGCGCCTGAATGTCATAATGATCTCAAACTGGACATAGCCTGTCGCCACCTGCCGTGCTGTTTGTCCTACAGCCTGTCACACCACGTGAACCCCCAGAACTGAAGTCAGAGCATGTGCTTTATATTCCTCAGAAACTCTGTGGAAGCCAAGAGGATAAAGCTCCCTTGTGTTCAAGTGTCTGCTCTCTGGAATGAACACTGTCTGTGAAATTAGTTAACAGATGAAGGACCAAAAGTGTTTTCCTTATTGTAGGGTCTGTTGTTAAAACACCAAAAAGCCTTACAAGGCCTCTTGAAGAATATTTAGCTATAGCAGGTGGGTTTTTAAATTTAGTATTAAAGCCACTTAATCTTTAAAGTATGGGATACTGAAGCTTTGGCATCTTCCTCCTCAGAATACAAAGTTTAGTACTAGATCTCAGGACTTTTACATTTAGCACTCAGCACACTAAGACTATACCTGAGTGCTGTATGGGTGTCGTACTTTATGGTGCTGAGAACTCTTAAGTATAAAATGTTCTGATATCAAGTATTCTTTTAAAATTTTTAAATTCGAGTATTAATTCTGGAGTGATGTCTAGGACCAAACATAAAATAAGCAGTAATGAAAACATTGTATCAAGAAGAAAAATTGATTTCCAGAACCCAGCTTTGAGTTAATGCCGTGGCAACCAGAAATCATAAGGAAGCGGCACACATAAAAATGAAATCAATTATCTGACTTTATAATTCCATAGTCTTTTTTGTTTGTTTGTTTTTTGTTTCTTGTTTTGTTTTTCAAGACAGGGTTTTGCTGTGTTGCTCTGGCTGTCCTGGAACTAACTCTTGTAGACCAGGCTGGCCTTGGACTCACTGAGATCGGCCTGCCTCTGCCTCCTGAGTGCTGGGATTAAAGGTGTATGCCACCACCTCCTGGTTATAATTCCATAGTCTTTTTTTAATTGATATTTATTGGGCTCTATACTTTTCTCTGCTCCCCTCCCTGCCTCTCCCCTCTCCTCTTCAACCTTCT